CTTTCTAAACGACGGTTCGTAACAATTGTATTTGTAAATCGCTCTGGACATTCGAAATCCATAGGTTGGCTGCCCTTTTGGGCCCTAACTTTATTAGCGGAGGCATCGGTGAAGGCCTGATGGACTTTCGGAGTTTCAGATCTGTCGCTACTCTCCCTATACAGGTACTCTACTTTATACTGAGAGTCAAGACAATGCGAATCCATTTCTGATTGGTTAACCGGATTTTAGGCCTTCACAGTGTCACAAACGGGAATAAAGATTACATTTTCACCAATTGCAAAGATTATAATCTGTAATGGACCGAGGAATTTCGGGTTCGACAAGGAACAAACGGAATGAAAGAACGAACGGAGAAAGGAATTTAAGAATGAGCCGATCAAAGATTACAAAAAACGTTCAATTTCTGTAATCTTTATTCCCGTTTGTGACTCCATGAGGGGTGTTGTCTTGACTCTCAGTATAAAGGGACTCTAGATCTCTAGATGCAACCAGGAAAGCAGCAGGCAGCAGGAGTCATCAGGAGCCAGAACAGCCATTCCAATTAGGCCATCCACTTCTCTCCTGCGGATGTCGGATGACCTATTATAGTAGTAGTTTGTTTACTTTCTGAGATTGTGTCTTGTGTCGTAGTGTCTAGGAAAGGCCATGGACCAAGACATAAATAAAGGCCTTCCCTCGTTGCTCGTTCCAGGGACGAGTTCAGCTCTGTAGAAAATAGAAATCGTCCTTGCCCGTTCTCTGTGTGTGATTCTTGTATTGTGGTGTCCCGTGTGCTTCTTTCTTCAGGGATTATTCAAGTGACCTCGCCAGTAATGGCCCAAGCGGCTGTCCTCCGCGCTCAGAACAGAGCATCCACCAAGGTATTTTGGCTTTTAATCCATGACGTAGCTGTATGTTATGGATGCTGGTTTTCTAATCAAGGGCCCCAGGGGTTGGTTTGTCTCCAAATGGATTTCACAGATGAATTTCAAAATTCTTGGAAATAATTATCGTATATATTTACTTACTTTCCCCTAATTTTGTGTCATTTACATCAACATAATGTAACAACAAATACTGTATACATGGGCACGAATGACAATGGCTTTACAGACCAGAATAATGTTGTAAAGCACTAAGCTGATGACAAGGAGTAGCCTAATGATCGATAACAGTTCAAAGCACGAACATATCCTGGAGAACAATCTTGATGACACATGAGATCAATAGGCAGGAACGGCCCTATGGCTGGAGAATAATAGAGAAATATATACACTTGATTATTGTTGTCATTAGTTCAAGAGAAATGATCCAGAAACAGGTCAGTGGACGAAACCAGATTTAGGATAAATACCTGTGATTTAGTAATTGTTTGTCTTTAAGATTGATCCTCTGAGAGAAATAGGACTATGATATATAGGTATCACTTAGTATTGCACTATCATTGAATTGCTCCTATTATTTGTACACAGTCAGGCACCACTGTGTCTCCTAAGAGGGAAAAGACCCATATTTTCCATCTCAATTGTAATTTTAGGTTGACCCTATTAGGGTAGCATTGTAATAACTTGTAACATAGTAGAGTCAATTTTGAGTGTGCCACCCCACCTGGATGGATCATTAATACCGGCAGTGAGTGATAATCTCATGTAAAATTTTTGGTTGGAGAATCTTGAACATTTTGTCCTTTGCTAGAACTCTCGCATTGTATGTTGAGGCAGATAGCCTCACATAGTAAATTATTATGGAGATACTTATAATTAACAATATGAACAAAATTATAAAGGACCCCACACACCTCTTATGGGAAGCTGCACCCCGACCGATTGCCTTCTGACTTATGTTTTTCGATTCTCCTCAAGATGCTGATCAAAAGTTATAATTGCGCCAACTTTCTACGATGCACCGTTTTCGCCAAAAACCTAAGAGAAGATTCAATTATTTGGCGATAAAAAGCCAGAAGATTCCTCATTTCAGTACTCGAGTGAACAAATCAGGGGAACTCCCGCACTGAGCGGCAGTCTTATCTCGGATTCTGCTCGCCGTTTTGCTCAACCATCCAAATCAGATTCCTGAGGAGCATAAGAACAGGAAAGTCTGAACGTCTACCGGGCGAGTGCGGGAGAGAGATAGCCTCTGAGTCGGCGGGTACAGATTAGAAGACGGACACGCGCTACGTTTCTTCCTTACTTACATCGGGCCTGTCCTCAAATGCTTTGTTCTTTTTTATTCATAGTCGCCGAATAATTGAATCTTCTCTTAGGTTTTTTGCGAAAACGGTGCATCGTAGAAAGTTGGCGCAATTATAACTTTTGATCAGCATCTTGCGGAGAATCGAAAAACATAAGTCAGAAGGCAATGCAGCTTCCCATAAGAGGTGTGCGGGGTCCTTTAATCTTTATTATGTTAATGATAGTAACCACTATTTATTCTTTAAAAATGATAGGCATAGTATTGTTTATGTCACCACTCATCAGTCAATTTTGACTGATGTATACGAATGTATACTTTTCAGATGTATACGGAGTAATTTTGGAGGTAACATAAAATGCATTATATAATGCGGTTGAAATCCCAGGTTTCACCTGACTCAAAGCACTTGCTGCTAATACCCAGAAGTATTCTGTCTCTTTCAGCGTTGGGCCCAGTTGACAATTTATTATTGGCCCCTCTCAACTTTTGAGTCTAGTCCAAAGATCTCTTAGGATCTTAAGGTGAATCCAGGGTTCGATGAGGGATAATTCAAGATTAGAGATAGCGCCACCAGTCACCACTGAGAATTTCACTTTCCTTCGACGATTACTGAAATAATACTCCTCAAATTACAAAAAGCAGATCCACAAGATATAGATTATTTTTTGCTTGATATTTTGAGCCAAAAATATTGGCAAATAGAATTACAAGCACAGAGAAAGTACGGCTGAAACTTTTAGCTCAGCGGCGGCGGCCGAGCGCGCAACGGAATCCCTCATGTTCTGTCTCTCTCTCTCCCATCGCTGCAATGGGAATTTTTTTCTGCCGTAGTTAAGTCTTTATTTTTGGGAATTTTGAGAATATTTTTTCCCTGAGTGTTCCTCAAGTATGTTGCTGTATCTCCTGGATCTCCAATTTTGAATAAATATTACAATTTTTATTATTTTGGCAAATATATACGGCTATTCTGAGCACCGCGACGTGGTGGCCAAATCGCAAAGTTTCAAGACTGGATTCACCTTATATTAATGACCTAGGTAGTGCTTGGTGCCAATGTTTATATGATTAAAGGCCTTTTCACAAAATCTACAGTCGGTCAAAGTGAGCTGGCCCTTTGTGGGATCTTGCGGAACAAAGTGCCCTCTCCATGTGACCCGTATCCCTCAATTTTGATTTTATTAGGAATTTAAAATAATGACCCAGGTGGTGCTTGATGCTCACTTTTAAAGAACTAAATGCATTTTTCCAAAATGTACAGTCTTATCAAGTGAGCCTTCCATGTCAATTTGATAAAAATCATGTGTTGCCCCTAGCCTCCCTGACATACAATAAAATCACTTGACCTACATAAGGAAACCATAGATATGATCTTACATGTAAATTTTGAATGAAATTGAACCAATAGAGATTGAAATATGGCTGTACACAGATTTGACGGATGCGGGACACACCGACACATTTTTTAAGTATGGTTATTTTGACTCCAGGGACCTTTTAGCGCCTAGAAATGGTGAGATTTCAACTTCTTCTGTTCTTCTTGGACTACCTGCAAAGGGATTGAGAAAGTAAAAAACAGAAAAAGAGATGTTGCATATGTATATGCATTATGCAACTTAGGTAAAAACCAGAAAAAGATATGTCACATACGTATATGCAACATGATGCAATGATGGTAAAGAAAAACACTCTAATTCGTAGAAAAAATTAAGGAAAGGACTACGTGCAAAACGGGTCATTTGGGGCAGAGTTCTTTATCCTCAACCGGTATTCAATACGATTTTTCGCATCAACACGCGGTTCACGATCGATGAGCGAACTGGCCGCTAATGGGTTTTAAATTGAGGTGTAGTTACCTTTCCCCGAATTTTGGGTTCTCCATCGACGAACTCGGAGCGGTTGTCCCGGCTACTGTATGAGTTCATTGATTCCGAACTTTATACCTGGCCTTTCGGTGTCCGATCTTGATTTAATAGCAAAAGACGCTGGTATTCTATCCCCTCACTTGAGCGGATACCAAATGGCCCGGCTTTTGAATCAGATCTCGGATCGGATTTAAAACCGTGGCCGCCGCTTATTAACTCAAGTCGACGCCTGTATGATACTTCCACCACGACACGCGCTCTTTCAATGCGTGGACCTCCCCTCCCCGCCGTCTTGTTGCCCTGCACCCTCCAGCCGATTCTGCGTTGCACGGCACCCTTGCACCTTTCTCTTTCGCTCTGGCCTGGCTGACCAGGTATCACACCCGCGCCGCGCCTCCGGATCCGGCCGGACTCCTGTTTCCTCTTCTTTTATGAATCTGAGAAAGAAAAAATCCTCCGTCTCCGCAACTCTCGTGCTTTTTTCGTACCGTTATGGTAAGAGAATCACGAGTTGAAAAGTCAAACGTCAAGGAGGCACGGACGACTAAGTTTCGATGGCTATGAATGATTTTTCAGTTTTAATTACTCTAATAAATACATTTAATGTTAATAATTCAATAAAAGTCCGAAGAAAAGTTTATTTTTTACCAATAAAATTGGCACTTGAAATTTTGCATCTTCTGAGGAATTTATGGGGGGCGCAGTGAATATAATAAATCGTTGGCAAAACTTCCAAGCCACATATCTCGATTCGCGACGACGCAGACTTCCCGTTATACTTTATTATTTATTTGGAAAACTACTCGGCAATACTTCAAAACTGTCGTGATTTTTCTTCCCTGTGCGAGGAAATTTCAGCGAAAAGTTCAAAGAATTAGGTTGACTTATTCTCCTTTGAAAAAATCAAATTATAGCCTTTCTTCACAAAAAATCACAAACTCTCGTGCAATCCGTTTTGTTAGATATGTGCTTCAATTGAATACAAACCATCCGTTCATTGCAGATAAACGTGCACCGTATTCAATATTAATCTAATTCTCTTTCTAAAAATCCCCTTTCCCAAAAAAAATTGAATAGTCATGAATAAATATATAAATAAAAAAATTTCAAAATTATTTTTAACAGATGCAAGCATCCATCGCATCTCAGGCGCATCGGTGCATACGTGGCGCCATAAAAGGAAATCTAGCGTTTCCATTCAGAAAAAATTCTCCTTCTGGAAATCTACGGGATGCGAAATTACCGTTTCGGCTCGCTTCAACAGGATCCATTGAAAATACTGTTAAAAGTCTCCGATGGTGACAAACATATCAAAAATTTTTGTGGCATCAATTCAAATGGGTGCATTTTGTGATTAAAATAGACACTTTCACACACACACACGCCCTCCCTCACCCTCACACACACAAAAAAAAGGCCTATATGAATGAAAAAATTCCAATAAACCCTTAAAAGCGGGGAGACAAAAAATTATCGGAACGGCCTGCTTCAGAAGCAACTGTAGTTAGTGAATATTAAAAGGCGTCTCTGGAGATGCAAAACGTCTCCACGCGTATTCGGAATAATGCAACCGTAGGTGATTTCGAGAAGTAAATCACTGAATTTTTAAAGGTAACATCTTGATAAAAATTAAATTAAATTCCTTGAAAGAAGCAGAGGGAACCAGAAATATTTTGTTCGATTTTATCATTCCCTACATTCGAATTAGGATATTTGGACGTATTTCTATCAAACGGAACTATTTGCATTGTGACGTGAGCCCTGTTATGCACATATTTGTATGGGTCTCAGGGCTCGTGTCTGAATGCACGTAGTTCCGGTTGATA